CGCGGCTGCCTAGGTTTACTACGTACAGCAGTGACCTAGCGCTTAGCAGCCATGGTACTGCTTCGAGTATGGTTATTTGTGTTCGGGTCAGGGATAGGACTATATTCCATAGGTTTGGAGCAGTGTAGAAAAATGTACAGCGGGCCGTGTTCGAACCAGAGGAACCAGTAGTTTCGAAAGAAAACAATCTATCCATCGGGGTATGTTGGAATTCTAGACGTTGTTGTGTACAGGAAGGTTCCAGGAAGATTCCCGTCAGCCATCTCATCCTAGAATTTCAATTTTCTCCGATCGAAAAACTGACGTTTCTCAGCGCTCTAGAGGAGCGAAATGGAATGCTCAAGCTTCCAAGAGAGAAAGCAAGGAAGCATGACCGGAAAATGTTTTAGTGCTGGAAAACTTCATGCGCTAGTTGAAGCATGCAGAAGCATGTTATTGTTGTTATTGTTGTTGTTGTTGTTGTTGTTGTTGTCTTCACATTAAAATCCGTTCCGTCCTCTCTACTCAGTAGCTTCTTCTGTCCGTACTCTAGTCAAACACTTGACGCGGTCGATTCCCGTGGTCACAGACTAACTTACCCAAAAAGGTATATACTAAAATTTTAGCAAAGGCATATTTTGGCCCAGCCGTGTGTTGAATAGTGCCCGGCGAGCAGGGGAAGCGTGTCACTCGCGCACACACAGCACGTCTTTGCCAGTTTCCCAGTGCCTCACTCTGATTCAAGGAACAGAAACCGGACAAATTTGCTGAGCGCACTGAGGACCGATGGTCGAACGACTGGGAGGGCCCCAACCGTGGGCCGATCCCAGCAGAACGAGGTAGCATTGTTCTTGCTTTGAATTTTGGTGCATCTTGCAACTTGGTGGCGATCATTTGGTACGGCAAGCTTTGCCCGTATGAGGGCGAGCCCTCTCGTGCGGGCGTCTATCTCTATTATCCCGTGATCAAACGATTGCAGTGCCCCAAAGGGGAGAACCAGGAGGACTCGACGAGGTTGTACGAAGTCATTCGCTAGCGTGGCAATGTTGAATTCTATTGCGGAGGAAAAAGGGCGAGTCGCCCCCCAAGCGTAACAGAACGACCGGGGGAAAGTGCGATGGACGCGAGCTTTGTTGCTGGGTCGTTCTCGTCGTCGAAGCCATGCAAAGCGCCGGGTGCCGCCGCATTGTAAGGGCCACGACACATTTGTCGTTCCAGTGGGAGGGGGCCGGTATAGCGACCCCTAGTGTCACGACGAAGTGTGGCCGCTGCTCAGGGCACATCATTACGCAGGGGGGCGCTAAAGCGGTCCCCCCACTGCAGGGTTACACTTGTACACCCGACGTTGTTGGACTAATGCCCACCATCTTATAGGGTAGCCAACGAAAAAGGTTGAAACCGTTCTGCAGTGGAGAGAACGCGTGGGACGTTTCCCGTACAGTCGGGGTCCCCGAGTATGGCGGTCGTTGGGCAACTGATAATGACCGTCTTGTAGGGGCAGCTGCCTTGGACAATGTGTAGAACAACTTGATTGTTCCGTCTATGCCAACCACTTCACCCACGTTATACAGGGCGGCCGCCTTATGCAGACCGCCTTCTTCGAGTACCTCCACTGCACTTCCGATTCGCTCCCACCAAATCCACGCGCGGCCTTGCCTGGTTGACACACAGGTTCGTCTGGCGGTAGAAGAGTCGCTGGGTCTTCCGGAAGGGTCGCTGCACAAGGGGTTCAAGTCCCAGATCAAGGAGGCTGTGCATTCTGTCATGGTGAGAACAAGACCAAGACGACCTTGTGTATGAGTTCCGTTTGCTTTTGATGGCTAACCTTTGTGTTGCTGGAGCGGCTTGCAGCACAGGTGTGGTTGTCTTTGTGCGTCTCTTTCTGGAGCGCGAACATTTGGAGTCGTTATTGATTACCATATCTTGGTGTACGGAACCAGTCGGCTGCAGGCCACCTCAAAAATTCTTAGATTCTTCATCACGAATTGATCTATCGTGGGACCCGTCGGAGTGATCGCCATTTCCATCGTTTCCTTGACGAACAAGGAGTCAATTTTCCCGCCTACCTGAAGTTTCGCCTTTCGTGGCATACATAGGTTCCCGACACCGGTAGTTGCAAGTCTGTTTCTAGAGCAGATTTGAAGGAAAGGAAGGCGGCGTCGTTAAACCTAAGTAGCGATATTGGATCTCGATGTGATCTTACGGGTCGAAGAGTAAGCATCTCTCAACGAGTAGGTTGAAGCATACAATGTGTAGTGCAACCCCCAAGCATCGGTGAACCTTACGTGCGAGGTACAGTAGAACATGCTCGGGAACGGGTCGTTCGGGGATAATTCCACATGCTGCCGACCTGTTTGTAGCGGACCAGAGACTAGCCAGTCGACCAACATCGTGACCGCGACGCCCTAGTTTTTGTCGTGGTCGGCGTTGATAGAGAACCATTGTGAAGTTCAGCACGTTTCCCCACATCACCTTTCAGACCCCGTAGTGATGGAAACTATGGGACAAATATTTTTACAAGCCCACAATGAAGCAACCACGAGGATGCCAACTCAGAATATAAGTGTTGGTTACAACGAGACCCGTTTTGCAAAGACTGCCGCAAAAACAAATCGACAAATGTCGATGACGGCGAAGTGTTCTCGTGGCCGATAAAATAGTTTTTTCGAGCGAAAGGGGTTTTGCTTGGCGAGAGTCCCGCAACGGCAAGAACCTGAGCTTGGCCAGCTGCTGTAGCCCCCCCACGCTCTCACCCGGTGAGCTGGTGTGTTGACGGGCCGCCGCCTCCCCTTGTGTTGGTTGGCGGGTAGGACGACATCGAAGCGGATCGGGCAAAGACGACGGCCAAGGAAGAGGAAGAAGAAGAAGAAGAAGAAGAATTCGTCGACGACACCACGCGCAGCGCCGCTCCTGCTCCCTCGCACATCTACAGCAGCCGCGGAGATACCGACGACCGTTCTGCTATACCGAAAAACTCGTCGACGAAAAGGAAGGTCGCGACTGGTTCCGGGGGCGAAGACGCATCCGGCGACAAGCACAGCAACAGAAATAGTGGCAATAAAACAGACGCAGCTGGTAACGGGAAGGAAGTCGGAACGAAGGAGGGGAAGAAGCAGAAGAAGGACATTCGAAAAACCGGCGGGGAAGACGGCGGAGACGGGGACTTGGTGTGCGTGGTGAGAAAGCAGGGCACCTCTGTGCGAAAAGGGCAGACGGCGCAGACAGCAGTGTGCGCATTTTCGATATCTTAGGGGTGCGGCGGTCGCTGCCGTCAGTATTGCGAGTCGTTTTGTCAACTAGCGTGGCCTCTGCCTTTTCGCGGTGATGTTTGTTTTAGCCTTGCGCTCAACCTCTCCAGGCCATCGTTGATGTTGGATGGTGCATTATTAACCTCGATACGAAGATACAGGGTGCACATCAATAACTTTTGCCGTATTCCGAGTGACGCAATCGGTCAGGAACCGGCCGTCATGTGGATTACAATGCTTTGTTTAACAGAAGGGTTGCCCACAGCTTGTTGAGATTTCAGGCCGCCACGAGCGGCGGTGTTTTCCGGTTTGCTTGGCTGAGCCTAGCCCCTCCCTCAATCAAAGCGAATGGCTTTCCATGCCATGTGAGTGGTGACTTGGTTGCTGCTGCTCCAGCTGCCGCAGTTGCTGCTGTTTTATTGTTGTTGTTGGTGGTGGTGTTGTTGTTGTTGCCATCGTAGCGGTGGTCAAGGTCGTGCGCGTCGCAGAAACAGCAATCCCCACGACGAAAACCGGCCATTCTAAGATGGAGGTAGCGCTTGGTCGCGCTTCGGTCACGTGTCAAGCACGCATTTTAGCAAATACAACACGACCGAATGCCTCTCTCCGTTTTTTTGCGACAGCTGGGAGAAACGAAGAGTGCGAGGAAGCAAGTCAACGTCAGGACCTGGAACAAGCGCACTCTGGTAGGGGGCATCCCATACGTTTGACGAAGCGGTCTGGCGTGTTGATTGCGCTTGAGAAATTGGCCGCTGTAGTGGCAATCAACGTGTGCAGGCCGGCAGCATGCAATCCGCCGTTGGGTGGTGGGGGTCAAGGCCTGGTTGTGTGACCCATTTTCACTCCCTTTAACGTCATTTTTACTCCGAATTAGGCACCCCAGGCCAGTGTGTCTGCTCTTCCGATGCGACTGCTGTGCATTTCGTTATGATGCCTTTTTGCTCCATGTTCAAAACGGCTGTCAACATGTGTTGCTTGTCGTCTCCCTTGACGGATTGGCTTCAACGCATTCCTTCGAACGGTATTTTGTCTCGAACGATAGGCTCTCTTTGATTCTGATTTTGTGGTATTTCTTTTGTGTGTTCTTAGGACGAAGCATTACTGCTATGTAGTTATTTTTAAGAATGAGGCATGTACATGTAGTTCTTTTCTATTTTCTATTTTCGAAGCAGTATTGTGAAGTATGTACGTCCGCTTTGGTGCTTCCTTTGACAAGCCCAAGACACTTTGCTGCTCCCGAACCCCCCTGCTTGTACCCGACGTATATATCGTATGTTGAGCTCTTCATAGGTGGACATCAGAGAGTTTTACCTGAAGGAAGCGAAGGAGTACAGGCCTGGAAAGAAAGGAATGTCGCTCAATCCCTCTCAATGGGAGATATTGAGAAGCGCGGCTGGGCAAATCGACGCAAACATCAGGCGGCTGGCCTAGTCGAGGGCGACCTGCTGCTACCCTTGTGAAACATTTACTTCGTACGATAGTTGATCTGATGATGATGATGTTCAAAGCCCTTCGAAAACTGGAAGTGCATCGCAGGATTACTCTGTCATCTCCGGAAGAGAAGAGGTGCAACTTGGATGTATCCTATCCATGCTTCATTCGCAGTCGCGGCTTGCTTTGATTGGGTGTGTTGGTGCCTGCGTGATGTGTTGCGGCAGCCAGAACTTTTGGCGTTGGGGTCGATCGGCTCCCGTTTGTTCAATTTGTCCATGCACAACAGTTTTTAGTCCTCTGTGACGTTCAGATCATGTCCAGAGCTTCCTGAGTGATGTTTTGTTTGCCATGTGCATGTTATGTGTGTGCATGTTTGTGACAAATTGGGGTACGGTAGTAGGCGATCCCGGAAACTCGTTGCATGTACGTCTTGAAAAGTAGGAAGAGAATGTGCTCCATGTGCCAACATAGCTAGAGCTCCAAATGTTTTTTACTGTGAGCACCACAACGACAACAAACTTTCCCAACTTCTTTCAGCGTGTGGCACGCCTGATCAGAAGAACCCCACAAGTGAAAGCAATCGGCCTTTGGGTCTTTCCACGCAATGCAACGCGGAACAAGTAGGAGCGCCGCATTTCTTTCTTTTCGATCTCGTTACCAAACAGCAGCAGCAGTATGTGGCGACCCTGCCGGCTGAGACATGCGCACACCACCCATACCCCTCTTTAGCGTGCTCGTGCAGCGCTATTTACTCAAGATCCCTCTCCTACGATTTCACACTCACTCACCACATACATCTTCCACGCAAGCAAATACATCGTAGAAGTGCTTTTAGCGACGATGGTCAACACTTCGATCCGCTGAGAACCACCAGACTACACAGTAGTGTAGCTGGTCGAACACCATAAATGTCGGTGCATACCGGGCTTCAAGCCTTAGCAAAATAGGAGGGTCTACCCTACGGTCTAAAGGGTTTTTCCCTTGTTGTGAAGAAACTCGACATCAGCAGCGCCAAATGGGTGCTGGATGCATCCATCCCTGGATATACGTACAATACAGCAGTTCTGGCAGAACTTTTAAGATCCACTACCGAGGCTGCGTATGCATAGTCTATGTTATGAAACTGTCAGAAAAATGTGACGTTTCGACAAGTTCGACTCCCTTCTTAACTTTTAATACAGCAGTTCTGGCAGAACTTTTAAGATCCACTACCGAGGCTGCGTATGCATAGTCTATGTTATGAAACTGTCAGAAAAATGTGACGTTTCGACAAGTTCGACTCCCTTCTTAACTTTTCTCCACCAGAAAAAGACGGGCGGGTGAACAATATTTACAGTAGCGAACGAGCGGACTGCTGTAAGTAGTCGTGTGTTTTCGCAACCCTTGACGGACGAAAACATTGATGGAAAACGATTGTTGCGGAACAAATATGATAGAGATGGTTTTGTTGTGTCATATTAAGAAAAAAAAAAAAAAATGTGCACATACGAACGAAGAGTCAAAACTACGAACGGATACATTTCCAAACGGCACATCTCTCCGTGCCGGCTTCCAGGCAACATAACACGATCCCGGGGGCGATACATGTTGGAATTCAACAACTGCTGTTGCTGCCCTTGTAGACTAATGTGGACTACCGAAGCATGTACAAGAGAGGTAGGCACGACGAGTGCCCACCTAGCATGATGTAAATAGATATACAGTAGAAACTCCTCGACAAGACAAAATAGAACACGTACATTGGCGACGACTGGTCACATTTGTAGAGACGAGTTCCAGCGAGGAGATGATGAAATGAACCCCCGACGCGTATTGCAGCGAGCGCGACTGATTGGCCACAATCGCGTTGATGTCTTGATGTGCCCAAACACCTGGCGCTTGCTCGCACTGGCCCCTTCGTCACACACACTTCTTCCCCTGCCTCGGCAGTGACTTCTGGCTGCAGACAAGCCCACGGGCTCTTTTCACATCATTCTTTTCTACCGAGGCAAGTACGCACGAGTAGCACGAGTAGTAATGTTGGGGTGTGAGGAAGGGTGTTGACGTTCCGTTGGAGTCACATGGCTGCCGTGTGTACACTCGCGATTCTTGGAAACCACTCTGGGCGGGACATCTGGGGGAGCACATGTAGAATTAGCTAGAGCTGACGAGTGCGAACAGCTCACCAACACTACAATAGATGGGCTGGATGCCATATGTGAGGTGGATCATGAGCACCACTCGCCAAGTGTTCTGTGCGGATGGTGCCAATGCTCGCTACTGTAGTACCCAGCCTGCCGGGAGTCTGATTTGAATTGCCGCGAACAGCCGTCATTTCTGTTCGTTCGTGTACTTCGCACCTTTGCGGACAGGTCCTCCCACGAGCAGTTTAAAGACTCTGTACGCACTGCTGCTATCATAATCCCGCGCGCGTGTTTTTCAAAAGGTGCGTTCATAGACTGTTATGTCTAGGCAACCATCGGTTCGGGCGTTCGCTGTCGCCTTTCGCATTCCGGGGGGATTTCTTTTGGATCGTGCACATATGTGGGCAACATGTGCTTGTCACCCGCATCAATCCTTTCGGGTTTATTCAAAATAATATGTATCTCGATGTTCCTCACACCTACCTTTCAAAGACGGTATTATGAATACCTTACCCAGTGCATTGCCCCACCATCCCACCCTCCTTGGACAACTTCTGTCTTGCAACCGATAGTACTACCGCCCGCCGGGACCCGATGACAGAGTGACAAGAGGTACCATTCTGGCGATGAAGACGACATTTGTTTGGCTAAATTGATGATGAGTTGATTCAGACGCCCTCTATCTTATCGCTCTCTCTGACAAAAAAACTCGCCGACCTCCCTCGGCCACTCTCTTTCGCGTGTGCTTCTGGGATTTGTTTTGTTTCAGGCCCTCACGTTCAGCAGTCTCCTCGTTTATCACATATCCGTTGGATCAAGTGAACAACCAAGATGCATCTCTTCAAGCTGATTCTGTTATCGGTTGGGGTCGCCCGTGGTGAGTGGGCTTGCCTGGTCCTCACCAGTTACATTGTTGCTTCACGTATGTTTATTATTTCGCATTTTTTTCCTTGGGCCTCTCTTTATGGGGATACAATCTTTGTTTTTCGTAAATTTTCATGTGGTACAAGAATAGACTAGGTCTGTAGCCTTGCAAGGTACTCCGACGTTTCATTTTTCCAACGTCCCACATCATCAGTATTCTTGCTCGGATAACGGGACCTTCTCGAGGGGGGGGGTCAACAACGTCAACGTACGTAGTACGTGCGTACGCGTGCATTGAAGAACCATCATTTAGCTGTTAAGTCGACATCACAAATCAGATAGAAAACTGGACAGAGGTCAGAACGCGTTTTGGAGGGCACGACAACAGTACTGTAGACAACAGTCACAAGGTCAGAGCAAATAAAAAATACCGGGAGAAAAATACGACAAGGCGAAGGAAACGAAGAGCTGGTCTTGGTGTAACTAAGGCACCTTTGACCCTTCTACGCAAAACACCACTACTCTAACAAGGCGCTAGTTCCGCTAAATGATATAATGTTGTTTATCTGGTGATGATTCCCCCCATCTACCTGCCGTCCCTGTCTGTCGATCGTACTTGTGCAAACAGCCAGTGGCACCACGTGCAGCAACGGCCTCTCCGGGCTTGAGAAAGGCGGTGTGTGCTGTCCGGTTGAATGTGGGACCTGCGGCGGAACTGGTACGTTTGGCGAATACTGCCCTCTCTCTCTCTCGTTCATTTTCTCTGTGTAGACCGTGGTAGAAGCACATAATAAAATATCGTATGTCTCTTCTCTACCTTTCGCTGTCTCTCTTCAAAGTAGTGTGTCGCTTCGGTAGAATTTTTCTGTTCCATTCGATAAAGACCTCACGCCCCCTCCGCCCCTTTCTGGTTTCTTCACCTTTCTTTCTCCTGTACAACGAAGGCTGTGGGTCACGGCCTGGCCTCACCAAGTACGACTGCTGCACATCCACCATCAAAGCGGACAACCATTTGTGCTCGGTCACTCAGGAGGCTCCGTGCGTCATCGACGAGGAGGTATGCTATTTGTAATGTGGCTGTAGGTCGTCGTATCGGTCAGTTTCGTCACTGTAGGAACCCTGCCATCTGTTCGTGCAGTCAACTACGGGCGTGACACGCCACTAGACTACGCCCGTTTCTTACGTTTACTACACCCACTCCATACGATAACTAAGCATTCCCTGACTCCAAAAATTGAACCCGCCAACGCCCCACCCCTTGGATAGACGGAGGCCGACCCCACCTGCAGCAACGGCGTGGCCAAGGGCGATATCTGCTGTTCGGCAGGTATGTGGATACTACCAATCCTAGATTGTTGTCGTTTCAGCCGCGTGCGTTGCTCCGCTCCGCTTTGACCTCACCGGTTTTTCGTGTGGTGTTCCCTCGACATATGGGTTCAACACCATTTCGTCTGAATTTCTATCTGAAGGCCTTCTCCCTTTCCATCGTGTTTTCGTTCTCCGGTATTGCAGTGTAAAAATCCTTTTACAGTGCAATAAACGCTGGCCGAAGAAAAACATACTGCCGTGAGGAGAAAAAACCTCCCTCCCACCGCACCCCTTCCGTGCGCACTCAAGGTTGCGGCTACTGTGGTGGCTCCGGTTGCTCTGGGCGGGGCGGCCTCAGCGGAGACGAGTGCTGCACCAGCACGATCGCCGCGGCCAACAAATCTTGCGACGACCAGTCTGCCCCGTGCGTCATGAGCGGCGGCAGCGACCTTGGTGAGTAGTTTCTGGCTGGGGCTGAGCACAATGATAGGTCTGCCTGCATGCGGCTGAGCTGTGTTTAATGACACCTCGCTGCTCAAGTCCATCATGTGTTCAGTCAACGGTAGAACCACTAACTCTTGACACTACCACAACAGGCTGAATTAAGCACCTGTTTCGAAGATGACGCTTGGAACACCGGCTTCCAAGAAAAAAATAACTCGTTGGCGGCACGGAACTTCCGGTGGTTACACGAACAGCGTACCCAAAACAATCCGACTGACGCTTGGAACACCGGCTTCCAAGAAAAAAATAACTCGTTGGCGGCACGGAACTTCCGGTGGTTACACGAACAGCGTACCCAAAACAATCCGACTGCCAGGAAACACACGGCGTGCATGAGTATTAATTTAGAGACCTTCACAACATGGAGAAAGGTTGTATAGGGAGAATAGTTCGCCGAATATTACGTGGTACTTTTTCTTGTCTAGACGCGATGTTGCTTGTACCCTCGCCCCTTCTCCCTGCGACTCACCAAACGCTTTCAGGCGACACCGCCGGCCAAACTACCGGCACAACAACAACTACCACCACCGTCTCAACCAGCGGCACGTCGTCGGTCGCCTCCACGGCCACATCGTGTGGCGGAGTTGCCAAGGGTGCCTTCTGTTGCAATGCCGGTGCGTGGATCTATAGTAGAACTAGTAGGTTGTAGTGGCGTGGAGGCATTATTCTCGCCGCTTGGATACTCACGCCTGATACCCCATAGGGTTGTTTTGCAACCGTGATGTTCCGCTACTCGGGGACATGACGGGACTGTCAGTGCAGCGTTGCTGACCATTCGGTGTGACCAGGCCTGGTCACCCTCCAGCCCCCTTTTTTGTCTCTGCCACGCGATCATTTTGAAACCCCATCTCCTCGCCTAATGTGAACTCAGGTTGCGGCACCTGCGGCGGTACTGGGTGCGGCGGTAGAGGCGAAGGGTGCTGCACGAGCGACGCCGCGGAGAGCCTGTGCTCCGCCACCGGAAAGTCTCCGTGCCTGATGGATTGTAAGTTATTCGTCGTTGTCATCGTGCACGTATTGCTTGGCAAATATTTTCGCGAAGGTTTTCCAAAGCCGACGATGAGCAGCTAAAAATACGCTACGGTTCTAACGGCAAGGTGGAACAACACGCTGCTTCCTTGCAGCTTGCGTGTGCGCTCTTTTTCTTCGTGCATGACAATTTTCGAGTGCAAAAGTTTCTTCGTGAAGCCAATGGGGTTTCGTTGTTGTTCGCTTTCGTCCAAGCTATCATGATGGTCAAATGTCCGTTGTTGGACGGACCAACCTGCAATAGACTACCCAGCGACCGCAATACTTCATGTTCTAACAACAAGCGTGGTCCGATCGTGCCGCCTCCTCGACGTCGCGCAGCCGCGTCCACCACTACCACCACCGACATCACTACCACTACCGACACGACTAGCGGCACCTCAGAGGCAGTCTCCACGGCGACGTCGTGCGGCGGCGTAGCCAAGGGCGCCTACTGCTGCAACGCAGGTATCTCGGCGCAAGACGATTGTTGGGTTGTTGTTGTCATGTGTACACATGGTTCAATCCTGTTGGTCCCGTCTGACGTCACGGGGTATTTCCTCTCGAGTGATCCGGCCGTGACTCGGAGGGATACCGGTGGAAGTCCCCGTGTCGATAAAACGGGTTCCAATTGCTCGCAGCGAAACACCTTGGCCACACAGTGTTCTCTCTCACTATCGCTGTCTCCCCTAGCAATTACAACAGTAGTCAGACTGGCTGGCAATTCTCAGGGCCATGACGACGAACCACCTCCCCTCCTCATGCACACCTAGGTTGCGGCACCTGCGGAGGCACTGGATGCGGCATGAGAGGCGAAGGGTGCTGCACGAGCGACGCCGCGCTTAGCCTGTGCTCTGTCACCGGAAAGTCTCCGTGCCTGATGGATTGTAAGTTGTTTGACATTGCATGCTGTACATGATGGGAGGGGGTATCGGTCCAAAACACAACCAACCCGTGAAAACTGCTTCAGTCACTGGAGCTGCAACGGTCGGCATCAACACGGTAACAAACGTCACTGAGCACGAATATTGCTGCTAATTTTCATCTCGACACTTACGAGATTCTCTTTCAACAGCAATGACGCTTCCTTAAGACTGCAAAGACTCCACAGGTTAACAAAACCGACCTCCCCTGCGAAGTTTGCTCCGACGCGTGTCCTCCCATCTGTACGGGTAGCTTCGAACCAATCAACCACGGACGCATTCTTCCAACTCGCTTCTCTCATCGTATACCACCCCCCCAACGTTACGCAGCCGCGTCCACCGCCACTACCATCACCGACACCACCACCGACACGACCAGCGGCATCTCAGTGGCAGATGCGACGGCGACATCGTGCGACGGGGTTTCCAAGGGCGCCTACTGCTGCAACGCAGGTGCGTGGACGTGGCCCGAAATAGTCGGGTTGTGACCACGCGATGGCGTTCACTTTCCTCGGTCCTCGCTGACATTGCAAAGGGTTGTGCCCTGCCAACTAACTCTCTCGCAGATATTGGAACAATAGAGGGATACTTCACGCGCGAAAGGGGCATGGCAATTTTGGGCAACCCGACCTGACCACACGCTGGCCCCCTTCCTCTCGTTCTTTTCTTCCAATTCAAAGACGAAAGACCCAGTAGATACAACAGGTTGGACTCCACAGTGTAATGACGACGAACCACCTCCCATCCTCATGTACACCCAGGGTGCGGCACCTGCGGCGGTACTGGATGCGGCGGTAGAGGCGAAGGGTGCTGCACGAGCGACGCCGCGCTTAGCCTGTGCTCCGTCACCGGAAAGTCTCCGTGCCTGATGGATTGTAAGTTGTTGCATGTGCAGGGAGTGTCGTTCCACGATAGAACTAACCGCGAGAGCCGCATTCAAAAGGGTTGCACGGACGCTTAGAAACAACAACGAGAGCCGTTGAGCACAAATGTTGCTCCGTTTGTCCTTCAAAACCCACGGGCCTGCCTCAAGGGTACCTGGGTCCTTCAAGGCTGATCTCTTCGTCGACTGAACGCAAACGATGGTGCTTTATCCGCACGGGTATTGGTTCGAAGGAGCGAACAAGCACTCTCCCATGTTCAAACCGAAAAACTCTCTCGCCCTCATACGACTTCCTCAACGCCACGCAGCCGCGATCCCCGCTACCACCACGGACATCATTGACAACACGGACACCACCACCGACACAACCGGTGACACCACATCGGTAGCTTCCACCGCGACGTCGTGCGGAGGAGTCGCCAGCGGCTACTACTGCTGCAACGCAGGTGCTTGAGCGTGTACAAGGTTGTGGTCAGGCGTTGACATTGTTTTCCCTCTGTCCCCTCTGACACGGCAAGGACAGTTCCTGTCAAGTCATGCCCTCGCGACTCGGGGGGAAGTGCAGAGATATTTACAAGAGTTTCGAACATATGGGCCATGGCTGCTAGGCATGACCCGACCGGGCCGCACGCAAGTCCCCTTCCCCCTTTGTTCCAGCCCCGTAGACAATGTTAATCCGAACACATATGAGGATGATCCCACAATGTCATAACGAACCTCCTCTCTTCCTCACGCACACTACAGGCTGCGGCACCTGCGGAGGTACTGGATGCGGCACGAGGGGCGACGGGTGCTGCGCAAGCGACGCCGCGCTTAGCCTGTGCTCCGCCACCGGCATGTCCCCGTGCCTCATGGAAAGTAAGTTGTTGCCACTAACCCAGTACGGCACATAATCGGGGGGGATACATCAGTCCTCCGATGTTTTGGTATGACCAGTTTTGTTTTCGAGAAAATATTCTGGGACGGCGTTGACTCGATCCGCTTCGGTTCTTCTACCAAGAGTTACATGCAAGTAGGAGCGTATAGAGGGCGTCACAGCTCGCCGAATTGGCGAAAAAGTAACCACGGGTCCCTTGTTCAAGCAATCACTCGTGTCCCGTTTGCCTCTTCACCACGCAGCCTCATCCACCAGCACCACCACAACCGACACCACCACCTACACCACCTACACCACCGACACCTCTAGCGGATCGGTAGCTTCCACGGCGACGTCGTGTGGAGGAGTTGCAAAGGGTGCCTACTGCTGCAACGCAGGTGTGTAGATGATCAGTGGGTGGCGTTTATTTTCCTCAGTCTCTCTGGCAAGCCGGGGGGGCATATTTTAACGTATGCTCGAAACGGGCCATGATTGCCTAGCGCAGCTCGACCTGGTCACACGCTCAATCCCCTTCCCCCTTTCTCGTTCCTCCAACCGGGAAAACATGGAGTGAAGCAGAACATTTGTATCAGGTTGATCCCACAGCAGTGGCATGAGGACGAACTACCTCCGCTCCTCATGCACGTTCAGGTTGCGGCACCTGCGGCGGTACTGGATGCGGCACGAGAGGCGAGGGGTGCTGCACGGACGACGCCGCCGCCAACCTGTGCTCCGTAACCGGAATGTCTCCGTGCCTGATGGACAGTAAGTTGTTTCGACATTGTAGTACGCTCTTACAGGCATGAAGATTTTCACTGCTCGGCGTTAGAATAAGTATCGTTAACGTCCATGGTTCGGCTACAATCTACTTGTCAAGAGAAGAAATCTGAAGGCTTGTGCCTGGGGCTCCAGCAAGGAACAGCGTATGCCTTGGACGTTCCGAACCAACTGTCCTTCAATGCGCAACCACCGTCGTGACAAGCACAAATTTACACTACCACAGAATACGATCCCATCCGGGCCGTTGTCTTCTGCAGCAACTTTCTGGTCGAGGCTTAGCCGGACCTAGCTTGTCATTTAGACTGAACCCCCCCAACCCCTCTTTTCGCCTAACGCCCGCTGCGCGCTTTCGACCGCGCGCTCGCCGCAGGTGCGTCAACGACGACCACGACGACCGTCGACGGGACCACCACCACTACCGACGGCACGACGTTCACCTCCACCTGCACCGACTACAGCAAATCCACCGTCACAATCGAAATCAAGAACAACGTCCAAACTAGCTCCAAGAAGAACGGAGGGAAGAACTGTGAGTCAGGAGAAATACGCTACCTTTGGTTACCGCGTGGACGATACCACATGACACAATCTTTAGTACCCCTTCAGGGAGGCTTTCCTTTCTCTGCCCAATGGGCGCTACCAATGGGGGTTGTCGACCGCAATATTGCAAGCCGAAAAGAAATTGAGTTTTTTAGGACCACGTGTAAGAAGGTAAGCTTGGCTCCAGAGAAGTTGTGCCTACGCGTATGCTTTGTAAGACCCTTATCGTTGCTTGTTATTCACCAAGTCACCAGACAATCGTGCACCCAAATTTGATGGTGGTGGTCGGGTAACACCCTTAGCCACTTCGGTGCGTTACAGTGGATTTAGTTGCCATGGTGGTGAAGGTGCCACAGGGTAAGCATGTTTACCTTTTCACTTGTTCGTGCCCTAGCGCAAGGGAAATTTACCCACAAAGTAGGGCGTGGAATATATGGCATGTTCTTGCAACGCCCTCATCATCCCGGTTCGCTCCACTGCCGGGCACAATGGTGGTTGTTGCATCGAAGCAGTGTCCTACATGTGCCCTGCAGCTGAAACATTGAACCCGCAGCCGCGAGCTCCCGGTCCGAACTCGAAGATCGCCCCACCGTTCTGCCCTCGCCTGATCAACTCGAATCTTCTTCGGGCTCCCTCAATCACCCGCAGACATCAGGGGAGGGGGATGCGCCACCCTAACCGACATCTACACCGCCCAGGGCGGGCATAACGACGACGGCCCCCTCTTTGTGCTCGACTCGAACGACAATGTTGTGGGCGGAAGCCCTACCGGGTACTGGTTGCTGATGAGGGACATCCATGTCGAAGAGGACTCATTGCTTCAGGTAAAACTGGATCTATATGATTTAATTTTTCTGTATGCTGGGTAAATTCTTTTTGGGGTGGAGTTGCGTTGCCGCTCGTCGTGGCTGAGCAGCAGCGAAACGCCGGTATCATAATGCTGTTCTTTTAATCCCTGTATTTAACGTCAGGTCTTGCCCCTCAAAGAAATAGTGCCTATCCAGGGTTGGTTGCGCAACAGCGTTCATCCGTTGGGTGTTAATTCAAACATTAGAATATGCATTCAGTTTTTTTTATCATACAACCACAAAGCGCTCAAGCACGCGTGAACGTCTATCGCGGTGGTGTTTTTTTTGCGCGTGCATGATGTGATCAGGTGCACGGGCCGGACGCTGGCGGAGACGCCAGAGTTCTGCGGATCCAGTCTACCGCATCGAATGACTACTACGAGATTCGCGGTCACGGAGGCAGCCTGTCTTTCATGGACACCAAGGTAATGGTTGCTGTTGTGGTGTTGGCATTGTTGGTGGTGGTGGCAGCGGCGACGGCGGCCGTATTTGGAACCGTGTTGGTATTGTGCCCCGGTATCGTGCAACATTCAACATTATTACATCGGTCTTTGCGAAGACCTGCCGCATTACGGTTGATATTGAAGATACTCCTGGCAGTGATATTCCTTTGCCGGGGCTCGCTGTGTTGCTGAAGCGAGTGGTGATGGTCTTGGTATTCATGTTTGTCGTACTGCGTGTTTCAGGTGACGTCGTCCAATGCACCTGAATGTCACCGCTCTCAATCTGCTCGTGGTGAGTCCCAACAACAGCGAGGTTTGACACTAGCGACGACATGGCTTCGCCACGTCGCCGACCGCCCTCCTCCCTGACGGCTCGTGTCTTTCCTCACCCTATGTGTTGGTGGGGTCTTCCGTTCAAATGCGCAGGTCACCTCCTGGGACACCGACGAGAAGGAGGTGAACACCAACTATAACAAGGAGAGGTCCTTCGTCAGATGTGTCAGCGAGGAGCTTGCGGACAACCCGGACACGTGCGACGGGCATGCAGTGAACCACATGGGGGAGTGCAGGATGGTGAGAGGAGAGCGAGAGTATGATGATGGTGGTACGGTGGTTGTTGATTATGTAGTTGAAGTTCGGCTAAATTATCGGGTCCAACGCTCTTTGGCCGGCGCGTCTCCGCAGCTGTCCGTGTGCCCACCTCCACTATTGATTCTCCTTCTCCTGTAATCCTCCGCGGGTTTTGCACGCAAGGAGATTAGGTGTGCTTCGAAACATGTTTCGACGTACCCAATCATTCAAAAAAGGCCTAACCAAATCGGTAAACAGCTGCGTAAACAGCTGCGTGACGGGCCACATGCTGTGTAGTCTCCGAATATCCAAAGTTCTGCTCACCCGATGGATGTTGTCTCCCGCTAACTCAACAATTTTAGCTTTCAAGTGGCGAAGTACATTCATTCTCCTGTTCCGCCCCATCAAGCCATTCTAGCTGTACCACTAGGACTACCGAACCCCCCGGTCAAAACATACCAAGCGTGCACTAAAATCACGACGGCGACGAAACCTCACCGTGCAGGATATCATCAGATCCGAGATGGGGGAAATGGGTTACGACGCCGCCGAGAGCTACGGTATCTCTTGGAAGGTCCGCGGGTACTGCTCCGAGGACCCCAACCCGGAACTCTTCGAGCGCACCCGGGTAACTATGGACGACTCGCCGTATACTCTTTTGGAATCGCAGCAGCTAATACTGCTGTTCAGTAACAACCCGTCGCTTCGCCCGATTGATTACGTCGTCGTCGTTGTTGTTGTTGCTGCTGTTGATGTTGACGCGGCTATTGTATTGGTGTATTTTTTGGGGGGGGTGGGGGATCTCGTGATATTCTTGTTGTCAGCATTGATGCCGACTGGATATCTTACATACGTACTCGATTGAAGGGCGCCATCCCGAATACCAAAAGTTGGGCCATCTACGACAGCTAGCTGTACATTGACCCTACTTTTATCGAAATTCGATTGATGAACCTGATTTTCGATGTTTGCCTGCATAACAACTAGTTTTTGGGCCGTGAATGCTAATCGCGACACCCCCAGCAGTTCGCCCCAGCTTTTTCTCCTGACCCCCTGAAACGTACACGCTAGCTGTTGAGTCAACTCCGTGAACAATCACACTATAGCTGCGCAAGCTGAGCAAGTCTCCACTTCGTGTTCGCCGCTTACCACGAATTCCACAAACCAACCAGGTCCGTGGTGACATCATCGACTCGAATATCTACGGCATGTACTACGGCCACTACTCCTTCGGCCATGACGGAGGAATATGGACTGGGAACCAGGTACAAACGTGCAGACATTTCTTAGGCCTCGCTCACATTGTTCACGTCTTTTCTGCTTGCAAAATCTGTCAACACAGCTGTTTTCTCTTCTGGACCATCTGTCGATCACATACTTTCGGAATAGACCATATAGTATGCGATACTCCGAGTGTGGCCCCATGCTTGTTTAGTTGACGGCGAGATGTGGCCCAACTTTGGCGTAGGGCTCTGAACACAAGAGCCGATCATTCAAGACCTGTTTCTGGGGCATAACTGCTTGCGTTTGATCTCACTTTTCTCTTTTCCCTGCCCGTGGATGCTGCTGCCGATGGTGGTGGTTGTGACGATGATCTATCGAAAATATTCCCAGATGCACGACAACGCTCAGTACGGCTTCGACCCCCACGACGACTCCGACAACTTGGAGATCGCCTACAACACTGTTTGGGGGAACGGCAACCACGGTACGAGAGAAGGCTATTTGTCCGGTCTCGCTTGTTGTTATCATCCGACCTAGAGCGTGTTTCCTGCCCTTCGAGAGCATCAGCCCATGTCCGTTTCCCTGGCATGCGTCTCTATACTCACTACCACCCGATAGTTAGCCGAGGCTGCGCAGAGGTCAGATAAATAGCCTGCTACTGTACTGCTGCCTTTCTTACCAAGATGACCGTCCGGCAACGACAGTTTGATAGTAGTCCACGGTGGTGCCCGAAAGGCGGATGCTTGGGTTCCGAGAGACCAAACCCGCTTAGAGGAGTGCAACGTGGATCGTACGACATCCCGGCGGGGTTCGATGATGAATCTTCTTCCTCCCCGCTGCTTGTGCGCTCTTTCTCGTAGGCATCATCGCCTCCAAGCGCTGCAACAACGTCAAGATCCACCACAACACCGTGTACGATGGGGGGGAAGGCGCGGTCGGCATTTTCCTCCACCGAAGCTCCGACGACTGCGAAGTCTGGGGTAAGGGCCGTTTCAATCATGGCGGTTTTCTCCAAATATCCAAATTCCAAACATGCATTCGGAAGTGAGCAGGGCCCCAAAACTTTCGAATGGTAGCTTCCAAGTTCTTGGAAAGTTTCCAAAGTTATTGCTTCGAATTCGCCGCGCAAAGTTCCCAAATTTGGAAATATTCCAAATATTTGGAGAATAAGTGCCCTGTTTTAAACGACCCTAAGCCAACCGGTGAAGTCGCCGTGCTTGCTTGTCTTGCAAATACCTGTGTGCAGGCGAAACGATGTATTTGGTAGAGGGCACATCCCGAAGCAACCAAAATGACAGCGAGGGTAGATGTAATTTTTGGCTGGCGTAGCGTGCCCTCTCCCTTACTCGCCTCGTTTGCTCTTGCTGCAGACCAAACGATGCCCTGTTCCATTGTTCACTCTCGACCCTCGATCCTCTCCCACTTTCGCCTTCTTCGCAACCATCTGTACGCCTTGCGCCAGAAAACACTGTCTATGACATGGAGGATGCAGGCATGGCCATCATGGAGTCGATGGGCGCTCATATCTACGACAACACTTTCACTAACGTCAAATACGGCATCCGACTCTCTGTCGGTGCCTCGCGCAACGTGGTGGAGAACAACAAGTTCTCCGAATGCGACCAATGTGAGTTCTGTGTGGTCTTGTTCCGCTCCCTAAAGCAGTGAAACACGGGAAACCTCTAGAAAATGTTTCCCTCCATCCTGAATAATGTTCATTGCGAAACCTACAGACAAACTGAAGTTGGCCCGGGCTTTCAGTGCGTATCCACTTCCACGATACATGCACGCGAAAAGCATTACCTACGGCGACACCGTGGGGTCTCGATAGCTAGCGGGGAGAAATGTTGTGTACTATTGCGTTGTTTTTTCTCGTTGCTCGGGGCCCAGTCGAGAGTTGCGAAAGACTTGGCACCTAGAGAGGAGGCTTGTGAAGGAGAACCACTTTCGATGAGCCCACACAAATATTCACCCATATTGTGATGCCAACATGCCATAATCACACTCTGCTTCTTCCTCCCATCTTGTTGACGTTTCAGACGGCATCTACACGTACCAAGGAAACGACGAGCCCGAGGCCTCCAAAGACTGGGACGGACTGTTGGTGGACAACACCTTCCATGCCAACACTGTTGAGGGCGGCGTCAAGATCCAGAAGGCCGAGGGAATCGCCTTTACCGGTGTGTCCTCAAGTCGAAATGAATGGATGTCGCAGGAAGGGTTCACCGATGGACGCTCGTTCACACTTGTCCTTGTCGAAGCTAATGTTAATTTTATGTCGTTGTGCGAGGCGATTCTACAAGAAACCCGCGAGGTGAAAGCGTTAGAGAAGAACAGGAGAAACAGCATGCAGCGAATACGACGTTTGGAATGTGTTGAAGGGGGCGTTTTGGCGTATAGTTCTATGTAGAACACCTTTGTTTCTTCCCAAGTCGCTTCGTCGCAACTCGTTTGATGCTCTTTGGTTGTTACGTTTACGTGCACCGTCTTCTGCGATGCTTATTCTGCTGTAGCTGAAAACCGCACTTTTTTATTCATCACTTAGAATCAGCGCTCACAGCTTGTACAGCATTTCTGCCGTGCAGGAGCTCCAATCCGTGGTCACTCAGAAGGGTTCCTCTCCCCCAACCCTTCCTGCGGTGCAATATCGTGATCATCGGCTGCTGACAGTCTGTTTAGATGCTACCTAGATGAGCGCAGCAAGTACGAAGTTGGTCCTGGCGCAATAGTAGTTACGTTGAGTGCTGCATTAAGTACTACCAACAGCACAAATCTAATGGGGCGCTCCTGAGGGCCCATGTCTTAGCTTGAAATGTCAGGAGAAACATCCAAAGACGTTGAGTATATCCCGGTATCGTGGACAATTGGTCACTACACTTGCAGGGCTGCCCTGTGCCACCCCTCTTCCACAAACCACTCCTGAGCCAACCACTAAGGGCGCCCGATAACACACGCTGGACGGAATCATTGCCCGGAATAGGGGCTTAAAAAAAACGTAATCTTGTCTGTACTGACACCCTCCTCGTCGCGCGTCCTTCCACCTGGAAAATGAAAAATATCAACAGACAACAAGTTCTACGAGCACAGCAGCGGCGAGGAGTACCGATTCGAGGATTGCGAAGACGTCGTCTGGACTAACAACCTGGTCCCCGATGGTATCTGCCTCAAGGGAGACGACAACACCGACTACTTCAAGAGCTACGATAGCCTGCCCGACACGTGTTAATTTTTTTCGGGGAGGGCCCCTCTAGTCTTCTCTGTCCCAGGTTTGCGTGTGTAGTAAAGAAACAGAAACGTTCTGCCCAGCGGAACAATGAGTGAGGCCATCGGGTTGTTTCGATTTGTTGTGTAGGTTTCAATAACTACACCTACCTGCACTGGTCCAGGTGGTGGGTGTCGGTCGTAATTCAGATCTACAGTAGAGTGTGGGCCAAGTGCCTACCCTCCAGTTTGGGCTGGTCCTTAATATCATGGCCATTGGGAGGGCCTCAGATCTGGCGCAGGTAGTTGCATGAACTTGTATACAATCAAGCGGCTAAAGAGGGGGAAATAGAAGGGATGTTGCATCATGTGCATATCCAGGGGGGGGTCTTGTAGTGGTGATGGTCGATGTGTTCAATGACCAGAGTTCGGGAAACACCTTGCGAGGGAGTGCGAGGTACCGTGCTCGGATTGGACGCGAGATAGACGACACCTCACCGCATCGTTTAGTGTTTGCTCGCCTTTGCGGGCGTGGATGAGTTGCGTTTGTTGGGTAGAAAGTCATCGGAGAAACAACGGTGAAACAACAACTGACTCCGAAAACTATTGTTTTTAGTGAGTAGGCAGAATGTTGTTGTTGACAAACAACGAGAGAGCTCTGCAACACGTTGTTGTGCTCAGTCCGGTCAACTAAGTGGTCCTGCGGCTACAAAAACGTGTTTGTAGGGGACAAAAGTTGCATGTTTTTGGGGGGCTCTTCCTTAAAACTGCAGACTATGTATTCCTACGTAAATTATTTGTGTGGACCACCAGTGGTTCATTTTGCGAGTAGTCTTGTTGGTTGTGCCAAGGCACCCCCAGCCGCAAAAACAAGCCGCCTAGACTGTTACGAGATGGATTCGTTGTGCCATAAAAAACTGCAAGCCACCCTTGCCTAGCAGATCGTGACAAGCAACGAGGCGTGCGTGTGAATAAAGAATTTTTGTCGATAAAGTAAGCGTTTGGTTTCCATCGCCGTTTGGGCGCCCCTGCCCGGCGCAATTACACTAAATGTCGTAAGTCTCGCGATGAACCTTCGCACCCTCGGGCACGACGTGTGTTTCCGTGTGACCCCGACATGAGCATGCCAATACGCCTTTCCACGTTCATCCCGTGCATGTACGTGTCTCGACAACAAGAGAAGAGAGAGATGGACGTATGCAACGGGAAAGGTATCCGGGGGTCGGCCTCGGGTGACGAGCAACTCGGGTGACGAGAAAAAGGTCCTTGCCTACTTAATACACCCCGTCAGAGAGGACAAAGAAATAATGTCCACATGTCGGCCAACAAGTGCAAACAACTGATTACATACCAAGTACTTCTACTCCATACTAAGACGTATACAAATATGAACACGCTCGCCACAATTAGTACATGTTGAAGTTTGTGTAATCCACCATTCCTTGTTGTTCCCTTGCGCAATAACCCGAGAATAGTAGCGAGGAGGAAGGAAACATCTCGAGTATGTCTACAGTAACAGAGTAACCCGACGCCCACGCCGACTGAAGCGCCACGGCGCTTGCGGCACTAGCTGCGGCGCCGGCGTCAAGTCTTGTTCTCCCCGAGCTTCCAATTCAACCAGAGGGGAGTCTTTGATGCGCTTTATTATCGGTTTGGACTGTTTCCAAACCGTACCGCAAATCGCCCAAATTTCCCTATTTATACCGTTAGGTCGCCTTCCAGTCTGCCAATGTTTCCCTCACATACAAGTAGCGTGTAGAGGCGGGCGGAGGGTTCTAGGCTATCTGTCGTTTATTTCTGTTGACTTGCAGTCCCTTCCTGTCCAATTATATTCTGGTATACATTTTTGGGTAAGTTAGCCTGTGACCACGAAAAATCGACCAAGTCAAATGTTAGACTATAATAGTACGGACAGACAGTACTGTTGTTTTATGTGAAGACCACAACAACAACAACAACAACAACAATACTATTGTCCTACCTTACACCGCTGATGTCTTCGTAGAAATCGCGCCTGGCAACAAGATTAATGGTTTGAAGGAATCGGCCATCAAGCTTGACACATTCACCAAAGTTCAGCACGAAAACAGCAGTCGGACGACACAAGAAATTCTCGGGAACCACAAAGATATGCAGACGACGTCTACAACACCAGAAAATTCTTGCCCCCTCTTTCAATTCAACATTCCGGGGGGGGCACCAAAAGGACAAAATTGAGCACACACCATTATTTGCGATTCGTTGCCCGACCGCCTCTCTCTTCCTTCGGCATTGCAATAACGGCAACAAGGAGAACGTCAGGCCGACGGGCAACAGGCAGAATCAATCGTTGCAACCAGTACAATAAACGTGTTTTTCACACACACACACCCAACCATAAACTCCTGAAGACGGCGGCTTTTCACAACACTGCATAGGTCCACCCCACCCCTATCCACGCGCTTCCGGCGACTCTGAACGAATACACCCGCTACCTCCTCCTCTTTTCTTGCGAGAGATGGACTTATCTGAACTGCCGCCACGCAACGGAGATACTAAGCCTGACGACCGACCGCGCTGGTGCTGACTACGCACCGCAGCAGCCGCCGTCCCAGTCGCGTTTATGTTGTCGATGCCGTCACCGCTGGCATGCTTGCTGCAATTGCCTCCGCTGATTGAGGCACTCTCGGACTGGGTCACCCCGCCATACGTTCGCGGTGGCTGCCCCAGCGGCTGCTGCTTCTCTTCGCCTAGCATCACCGATTGCCCACGCTCCGCCGCTGGCGAAGAGAGCGATCGGCCTTGTGGAGTTTGGCAGCGTTGGAGCAGCCGTCCTCGCTCTGGCTTCACCTTCCCGCACGAGGCCGCACCGCCTCGGGACTCAGGGGATGAGGACGGGGACCCAGACCGATCCCCCAGCCGTCCGATTCTCCTTTCGCTCGTCGTAGCATCGCCTCGAGAAGGACGAGAGGAAGAGGGTGAGTCAGGCCATTCAGGCCATTCACCTCTCCTGCCGGCAACCAACGCCGCCGCCGCTGTACCGGTTTCCGGTGGTTGTCGGGTCTCTTCTCCACGTTCTCCTTGTGTACCGAGCCGTGCGTGCCCGTTTGCAACCCTACCGCTTGGGGGCGGGGAATCGCGTAGGCTTCTGTTTCGCCCGCTCTCAGTCGTTTTTTTTGTTCTCAACCCCACGGTTGCGTGTATTGCATGTTCAGGGAGTTGCGCATTGGATTTTCCTTCTTGAAGAAGATGCTGCTGCTGGAGCTCCTGATTCTTCTTCTCCTGATGCTCCTGCCGCTCCTGTCGCATTGTGTTCATCGACGTTAACCTTGGCAGGCCGAACAGACCGTCGCTGCTTCGTCTTCGCCTCGAGCTCGAAGGCAAACCCCCTGAGCTCGAGGGGCTCGTGTCAAGCCCACTGCGAAATGGGCGGGCGTTATCCTCGCGTTCCGGGGCGGGCCTGTTCACATGGTCCGCCGGTACGGGTTTCAATGATTGTATCACTGGTGTGTCGTTATCATCGTTTTGAACCGACACCGCACTTCGAAAACCGACCTCCGCGGAAGACAGGGAAAACTTTCCATCTCTCTGGGGAGATTCATCGACCGCTGCTCTTATCCCACGCTGTGTTTCGTCCAGTCCTTCGGGCGTTCCTGACGCTTTGCCGGTGGCACCAGAATTGACATTCATCGCGTCGCGAAGGTCTGCGGCCGGTGTCGCGCTTCGGTCTGCGGCAGCGTTCAGAGGAAGAAGACGAGTAGAGGAGAAGCTGTCCCCTCTCTTGGGCATTCCCTTGGCGGCAGGTGCGGGCTCGCGGTTCACGTCTGGCTGCCCCAGCGGGTTCTCTTCGGCCTGCATGGATCGTCCGACCGATTGCTTGGCGTCCGAGCACAGGTCAGATGCTGGGACGGTGGGGTCGATGGAAGCAAGGGACGCGTCCGGACCTCTCGCGGATGTGTGTACGACGCGCCCATCCTCCAGATCCAACCCTATTGCAAGTTCGGCCTTTGTTTCTGCCGGTTCCGCTACGGCATTGATAGCGGCGCCAGGGCCGGATACCGACGGGACTATAAGAGAGGCGGTAGTGGTGGTGGAACTTGAACCAACGCCACGACGTTTCTTCATCGTTTCTTCCACGGAGACTACCGTTGTCGTAGGCGGGGGCGCCACTTGGGCGGGGAACTCATCGGTCTTGGCAGCAATTTCCTCATCACAACGCGCCGGAGGGGTCGGTACGAGTGACAACGCTTCTCTTGGTTGAACACTGGCGACGCTGGGCTGTGCCGAAGACGATGAAAGTTCTACCTCGCCGGATTGTAGGTCGATGCGGATGTCGTCTTTTCCCAGATTACTGAGCGCTTGGCAAACAATGACGAGCTGCTCCTGAGTCTCTGCTAGTTGCTCGTCCGCCCTGGTGGGGTCATAACCAAACGGAAGAATCGTGAAAAATTTTGTGCAAGAGCGAGGGACAACCTCAGGTAAACGATGTCAAAACAAGAAGTTCTGAAAATGGACGTGAAACTCTCAGGAAAGTGTTGCCTTGCCCATGTAGGATGCTTCGCAATATGAGCGTTACAGAGCACCTGCAAGTGTACTGATCACAAAAAGGTCCAAACTGAATCGTTTCACTCAAAAAAAGAACCTTTGATCTCGGCAACTCCAAAGTAGGAGAAAAGTTGCTAAGAAGATTCGAACCTAGTCTCGTCCTGCCGCCAAACCTACATCATCATTGATAGCAAAAATTCCCAAACGCCGATTCCAACAAGCCTATGCTCACTCCGCTTGCTTCACGTCGCGTTATCTTTGCTTCACTTCGCTCCAACTCGCTCCACTCCTACTGCAATCCGTTTCACTTCCTATAGATACTGGGGAGGAGTGGGAGGAGTCAGTCTGGTCGCAAGGTCGCACCTCATCTTGGCGTCGTCGGCGTTCTTGGCTCTCTTGCATCGGCAGAAGTAATTCGTGGGGAAGAGTCCAGAACCCGCAAGGGACGAAAACATCGGAGCGGTTGAAAAAGAGGTGTTGAACTCCAAACGCATGAATGAATTTTTCGCTTTTTCGGGCACGGTCCAGAGTCACAGCAACCATGCTTGGAAAACAGCAACAAATGATGTTCTCAACACCCCGGGAAGATCTCCCCCGCAAAATGTTTGCATTTTTGAGTCAACTATTTCGCATTTGTACGCCGTTGTACCGCAATGTTGGCATTCGTTTGAGCCGTGTCGCATTCGTACGACGTTGTACTGTAGGCCTGACCGGCGGGGTGAAGCAGCATGGTAGTTGCAAAAGTCAAGGCATGGCAAAACAGTGTACCCAGTGAAAGACAAGATAGGGTGGGGCGGTTCTTGTCGTTTCCTCCGTCGGATCAAACTACCTGACAGATCGCCTTAAAGAGGCCTTGTTGTCCATCGTTGTCGTTTCGGAGCCGGTCAGATTCCGCCTAGTAGCGGGCGACATGATCACGCCAAGCACGGGGGAAGGGGGAACGCATGGACTTCTGCCGTTAGGTAGCCGTAGCGCATGAAGGAAACATCGGAGGTGACGTTGCGCAAATTCGTCGGGGTTGCCTATCTACTCTTCTGTCGTTGTCACGGTGGACTCTCGGGAAAGCTGCTTGCCTACAGATCCCAACGTTGGTCACGTGCTGATGATACGGTTCATTAACTTCAGCGGTTGCAAAAAGGTCAGCATTGGCCTGTTTACGCCCACCCGAGTTTCGGCTCACATTCGTGCGAAACAATAGCTAGGACTAAAGGTAGACATTAAATTCAAGAAGATTTTGAACGAAAACTCGCAACTCGGTATTTCTGTAACGAAGGCACGTTGAGCAAAGGACGATGGTTCGGATCGGGGCAATTGGGGCAACGGGTTTCCTTCCCATCGTTTGATATGATACGCTGTGCAGCTGACTGTGGTATCTGGCAAGCGAAACCTTGAGTGGCGGTACTGTTGATGCGGTACAACGCGTCGGACACGACCACTACCACCACCATCATTGTCACCAGTTGTTCTCGAGCATTGCCGAGGTCTTCCTCGAGGATGTCCAAGGTGAGCTCGTACCGCCCAGTATTGATCGTTTGCCGGTAAGCTTGCTCGTGCTGGACGTAGAGCTGGTCTTCGGCTTCCCTTTCAAGCCGTTCTTTCTCCCTGAATTGAGTGGGAACAATTAATGGCCAAGGGTGATGGTGTCAGTGTTTTCCCACCCTTCCAACAGAGGGAGAAACGTATGACAATAAAAAACACTCGATTTAATGTTGTTGTCATCGTTGTATCAAGCCCTAGCATCATGTATTCCGACCGGGTTTCTTGAGACTTGCGCCAACCGTTGTGTCGGACGGTATCAGTCCTCAAGTGCCGATGAGAAGACGTTCTCTGGGCTCTAACTCAATATCCTCTCTCGCGCTACTGCTCGCGTTTCCCCAACACGACGAACTTCTGCCAAGACTCATAGGACGTTAGACACTGCTATGCGCAAACTTTCGCTTTCCCATAGAACGATTTCTCTCCATCTGTATGAGCGGTGTATGGCCTCCCGCCTGTCGAATACAACTCACACCTTAGAAGCGCATCTCTTTGGGCGAGAAGTCCGAGAACAGTCCCTCCCCCGCTGCCCGTGTAGGCACCCTCCTCCTCGTTTTCACCGTCTTCGCTACCAGCGGAGAGCGATACTCGATCGAAATCACCGTCATCCTTGCCGTGAACGTCACCCTCGGAGGCTACGGAGGCTGTGGCGACCGTTGACGACCTCCACGCGGACTCCTCCAGCAGAGCACGCAGGGCAGCCTTGCACGATTAGACGGCAGCAGTGGCAAAGAAGGGACCAAAGAACGGTTGTCAGTCATCTTATTTTCGAGAATGTGCTTCCGCTGGAGACAGTTATGAGACCATTTACTACCAAATGGTCCAATAGTGGCCAATAACTTCAGGCCGACCATCATACGACCCACAAACCAGCGGCGCACGCGAGAAATACACATACCACCATCGCTGCCACGTGTATGTTTCCTGCAAACCACGCAGGACGCACATCGGGCTTACCGTATCAATCTTGGCGGTCGTGACCAACAACTCGCTAACAATGATTGTATAGTTTTCAGGCCAAAACGTGTGTGACCCCGCTGGTGCCAAGCTTTCGTAATATCCTTGACCCCGAATATCCCGCCAACAGCCCACCATAATATCCCGACCTCGTCCTATCATGGCTTCTGTATGGGGTGGTAGATGATGGCCAACCATCGGAATGCGACCAACCCGTACCCTACCACGATCACCTGTGGGCCGTGGTCGTTGGCTTCTTCGAGCTCTCTGGCGAGCTCGTTAACCCGCTCGTTGGCCTCGCGTTTGGCCTCCGACTCCCTTGCTTGCGCCAAGGCGCACCTTGCCTCTAACTCTTCCGCCTCTTCAAGGGCCGTGGCCAGGGCGGCCTCCGCATTTGCGGCTCTTTTTACCGCCGCTGCCGTTGCCGTTGCCGTTGTCGCTGCCGATTCTGCATTTGCGGCTCCTGCCTTTGGTTCTGCTGCCTGTGTTCCTGTATCTACACGTTCTGGTTTCGGTGTTGGTACTCCTGCGAAATCCGTGCGGGGTTATGGAAGAGCACCAGTGGTAAACCATTACCTTGTCCGGAAAGAACAATGACATAATTTTGTTGGTGTCTTTACAATATTAAACCGTTCCGATCCTTCCCTCTGTTCGTACTTGACGCGGTCGATTCCTGGAGATGGTTGGAGATAAAGAAGATTGACGATATTGACTCTCTTTGCCTCCGCGTTCATCTAGCTAGAGTCTAACCATCATCAGCTTCTGCGTCGGGTGGCCGCGGCGTCACTGGCGGTGTCGGTGCATTATCCCCTTTCGCCCGGTGGGCAGCTTCGTAGGCCTCTTTCAGCTGCCGCTCTAAGTCCACCACGCGACCTTCAAGCTTCATTTTTTCCTCGAGAAGAACCGCCAGAGAAGCCTGGACCACGCGGGGGGCGGAAGTGTCGTGTCAGATAGTTGTTGGTGATGCTGAATCAAGCTCCTTCATTTCGCGCTCTGGTTGTTTGGCCAAGCGAATATCGCTTTGCATGTTGCTAAACCAATTTCATTGCAACACGCGCCAACGAAACGAGAACGAGTTGGAAACATTATCACAACGAAGATGACTATAAAAATTCAGTATCTTTCACACCACCCGCTAGCGAGGCTAACGTTACTTGAAAATATTTTTTTAACAGAAACCCTCCCCACCGCCGGCGCACCTGTACCCCGTTCTCCTCGTCTTCCTCTTCTACGGCAACCCGAAGCCCTTCCAACCTAGCCTCCAACGGTTGTCGGTCCAACAACGCCACCGCTGGCGGTGTTGGGGTAGCCGCTTCTAACAGCTCGGAGTTCAAGCACTCCACTCGCTTCAGCTCCGATACTACCGCTTGGAGTTCAGCCTCCGTGGTGTCTACTGCGTCGCGAGCTTCGAGCAACCGAGCCTCTAGGCTGATTACCTTTGCCTGGTCCTCGGTCTTCTCGTGTAGCAGGCACTCGAGAGCGGCCTGGGGGAGTGGGAGACAAGGGATTTGTCCATTACTGCTTTTCTTAGGGGGCGGTCGCGCGCAAGATCGATGTGATGTTCGTGCCGAAGGCATCCGAAACGGCCCGCGATGCGGCCTCGCGTGAGTTTCGGGTGTTTACTAGCACAAGGCAACCCGAATCAAGGGTCGCGTCGATGCATGATTTTTTATAAGGGTATTGTGTAATGTCTTGTTGGGTTCGGTGCTCTTTAGTGACAAGGTTGTACAATGTCCATATCGGCCACATCGGTGTGGTTAGGAACGGACTGATGACAGGTGTTTTGTGGATGACGATGCCATTCCAGAAAAACGCAACGCCTTTTGGGTGGAAGTATAATATGACGACTAACGAAGGAATATCAACAAGAGCAGCACCATTAGATTCGTATAGAGGCACCCAATCTGTTGCGCCTAGAAGCGAACAACAAAAATCAATGTGCAAGGGTGACCGATAAACCTACCTGTCCTCCCCCCTCCAGCTCTTCGTCTTCAACCGCCAGCCTCAGACTCCGCAGCCTCAGCTCCGTGCGCTCCCGGAACGAGTCGTGCGCCCGCTGAGACGCCGCCATCGACGCTTCCAGCTCCGACACCCTCCTCCTCAATGCGGCCGTCTCGTCTCTCGCCGTCGCCTCGCTCGCCCGGGCCCGCCCGACTTCCCTTTCCAAGCGCCTCTTCAAGTCGCCGTCTTGCGCTGTCGTCTCCGTCTCTTGTCGGGGGGAAGAGTACCCGGTGGTTGCGCTGGTGATGGCTTCCTCCGAGTGTTGCGTGGCACGCCCTGTTTCTTGGAAGGAAACCTTGTCTTCGGAGCTCCGCGGTAACGGCGCTTCTGTCTCCCCTGCTCCTGCCGCCACCGAGACCGTTTCGGTCGCAAGGGGCCGTCCTTCCGTGCCATGGCGTACGAGAGCGGCGTTTCCTTCTGCTGCCGCTCCCGGTAGTTGTCCCGCCACTGCGGAAGCGGCAGCTCTAGCCTCGGCCTCCTCGAGGTCGACCTTCAGGCCGGCTGCCCTGGCTTCCGCCAGTCGCAGCGCTTCGTGTGCGCTGTTCAGCTTCTGCTCGAAGTCCGCGCGTGCGTCGACGGCGGCCTGGGTCAGCTCGGCGGCGAAGCCGTCGGAGATGGACTTCTGGTGCAGCAGCTCTGCCAAGGCCGCCTTTTTGTTATTGCACATCGGACGGTGGGGAAGCTTGCTCGTGTCAGCATATTTCACGAGAGCAGCAGGCAGTAGTAGTTAGTGGGGGGGGGGGTGCATCACGTTGTTCCAACTATGCCAGTACGCGCCAGTGCAGTCAATCATGTCGGACGGGTATAGAGATCGAAAGTACGTCCCCTACGGGTGAACATTTCGCTCGAACACCAACGACATTTGCACGGCATTACGCGACCGTATCACACGCATGAACACCTGAGAATCCTTTTCCTCCTCCTCTGCTTCCGCGGCTAGCCTCAGCTTCTCCAACCGGCCCTCCGTACGCTCCCGGAGCAGAGCACCCTCTCGTTTTGACTCAGCGATGGCGTCCTCCAGCTCAGCTATCCTCTGTCCAGCCACCCGCCTTTCGTCCTCAACGGCCTCGGCAGTCTCCCTCTCTCGGGCGAGTGCTTGGGCAAGCTGGCAGCGCAGAGTGTCGACCTCCTCTCTGGCCTGGTCCAACGATTGTTTTGCTCCGTGGAGCGTTGCTTCTTGGGCCGCAAATCGTTCGGCAGCCTGCCGGCATCGTTTAAAACGTCATAACAATGGGAGGAAACTCCAGGATATGATCAGCACCCATCGATATTGCGCCACAGGCGAGAAGGCTGACTGTACGCGCTCTGAATTCCTCCACGGACTTTGTTTTATGACAACGTGAATATCCCACCGCCCTCGTTCAAAACTTTTTCCATTTGCAGGAACATCATGCGATTTTCAAGCTCGAACCCAGGCACTCTCTAGCATGGGCAAGGATACCTCAGATTATTGTAAGGTCGCCCACCACACGTTTCACTCCAGGCGAAAGGAACTCTCGCACATCTCATCCGCAACCCGTTCCTCCTTTCCTCTTGTCCTACCTGGCGTTGGGCCCCATCCAGCGGAGTCTCCGGCAGCGCTTGACTTCGCCCCCCCTCCTTGGAGACTTGTCTTTCTAGCACAGATATCCTGTCGTCTGATGATTCGATCTCTTGCGTCGCAGCGGCGATAGCCGTAGTCCCGGCTTCCTGCGGGCGGCCGAGCTCCGCACGCCCCTCCCCGGTCTCCGCCGGTGCTGCATCTGTTTCCGACTTTTGCGGCCTTCGCTCTTGACCCCGGACGCCGTCTTGCGATACGGGGTCTGACCCCGGCGTATCGGCAACCGAGCAGTCTGCTGCCCTACCTTGCCCACTCCCCTCCTTCGCGGCAGAGCTGCTGGCTTCGTCATGGTCGCTGCCGTTATCGCCACCAGCATGTCTACCCGCAGCAGTAGCTGCTTTGCCCGCCGTTGGCTGTTGTTCGGACACTTGGACCTTCTTTGCGGCATCGAGCTCGGCCTCGAGTGAAATCAGCCTAGCCTCTGCCGGTCCCAGTGCGTTGGTCGCGGCTTCGAGCTTGTGTTCCAGTCCGGAGCGGATAGTTTCCGCCGTGTTGAGGTCTTCCGCGGAACGCCGCTCGATTTCTTCTTTCTCCATAAGCAGGGCCGTAAGCGCGGTCTTGTAAGACGCGAGAAAGATGGCGGAAATTGGCCGAAAAGAAAAAAACGTGCAAAAGAGGAAGTTGTAGTAGAGACGCTTCGGGTCGTTTGGAGAGGTGTTTTTTACGGTGATCTTTGGACGCATTACAGCGGTGACGTCCCAAAGCCCTGTCCTAAGAAGGGTAATAGACTGCAAGAACATTCGATGATGAAGCAACTCACCTGTCTATAAAATACCGAGACAAGCTCCTCTGGAAGGGGGTTTCGACGTGCTGGTCCTAGCATAAAAGCCGGCAACTCGTCGTATCATTGTGTCACCCTAGGAGGTTGTTTTCATAACGAAACCACGGTCTCTGCGCATCTCATCTGCGTCCCTGATGCTGGCGATGCAAGAGATTAGTCCCACAAATGAGAGGAACGTCCCACACGCTCGTCTCTAGAGACGTAACCTTGGCTTGGTTTGAGTGCAAGTGCTTCAAAAATGTGTGTTCACCTGTGCCCCGTTCTCCTGGTTTTCTTCCTCAAACGCCGCCCTAAGCGTCTCGAGTCTTTCTTCTACCCTCTTTCGGAAGAGAACGTGCTCCTCTGCCACCCCCTCCAACGCGCCTTCCAGCTCGGCAACCCTCGTTTCCGCGGTCTCCTGCCCTTCTTTCGACCTTGCCGCCGTTTCAGCCGAACGTGCCAACTCCTCCCTGAGAAACGCAACCTCTTTCGTGGCTTTACCGACAGCCTCTTCGGCGACGCGAAGTTCGTCTCTCGAGTTTTCCGAGCTTCCACCTCGTTCGCCCGCCGCCTCTACAGTTGCCTCTTCTGTCTCCACCACGGAAGAGACTCCGTTCGCTGCCCTCTCCGCGCGCTCTTCGCGTTCTCTGCGCTCGAGCGTTGCCCGCAGCTGCCCAAGCTCCACCTGCGCCCGTTCCCGGGAGCGGTCGTGTTCCGCAACGGTCTTCCGAAGGCTCCCCTCGAGCTGGGCAATCTTGCGCATCGACTCATTGTTTTTCCCCTCAGCCTCCACCCGGGTTGTTGTCTCCATTGCTCGCGCTCGCTCTAGCTCCCCTCGAAGACGCTCTGCGTCTGTCCTAGCGCCTCGCAGTGCCTTCTCGGTACGTCCAAGGGCGGTATCCCTCGACGCCGTCCGCTCTGCCGCGGCAACTCTCGTCAACTGGCGGGAGGTTCCCTGAGACTCTGCTTCGACGGCGGTGGCGTGCTCGCTGGCCCTGGTCATCGAAGCCTCCGTTTGGCCTCGAACTCGGTCGTTCCCGACAGCCTCAACCTCTCCGTCGGCCATGTTGAACTCCTGGACTACCTCTTGCATGGAGTTCCCGGTCCCGACCCGGCTCCCACAGGAGCTATCATTGTGGCCAGCTGTGTTCTGCTCGCCACTCGATTGATTCTCGCTGCTCTCTAGCGCGGCATGCACCTTCCACGACCTGGTCTCGACGGCGGGGAGTACCTTGGAATGGGTTCCACCAATCATCCCGGCGACTGTACGATTGCCATTGAGGGTGCTGGCCTCTTGTTCCCTGGCGTGGAGAATCCCGTCCGCTTGTTTTCGGAGCCGTGCCGTCTCCGAGCGACTTTCGCTTGCGGCGCGACACGCGTCGCCGGCCCGCTGCTCCCCTTGTACCTTCTCTTCCAGGAGGACTGCTATTGCTGCCTGGGGGGTACGGGAAATCACAACCCGAGGGTACGGTTAAAGCAGGGAAAGCATGAGATTGGTTGACTGAGTCAGCGTTCTGGCACACCTGGTGCAGAGCACATTTCGATTGCGTTGTGAGTGCCCTGAAGTCTTCAGGGCGCTCAAGCTCGACTAAACCATTGTAAAATAATGGAAATATGCGTCTAGCATTAGCAAAGCCAAGGACCCTCCAGAACTGGCCACAGCTTCCAGTCACGCTTCTGAGTCAATACCCATTTCACCAGTAGCACATGGCAAACCCTCGGCGAAAGCTACCCAGACCAGCAAGGCCACGAACATGTACCCCGAACATGATGCCGTACCTGTGCGTTGTTCTCCCTCTCCTCTTGGTCAAACGCCACCCTGAGGATTTCCAACCTAGCCTCGGCCATAACCTTGTGGCTCTGGAACTCCAGCTTTGTCTCCTCGACGGCGTCCTGCAGTGTGGACAATTTCCTCGCCGACCGGGCCCCTTCCTCCGCCGCCGATGCTACCACCTCCGCGTGCTCGGCTCGAGCGGACTTGAGCTCGTGGCGGAGGCGATCGGCCTCGTCCCTCGATTGTTTCGAAGCAATGCCCGCGGTTCGCAGCAGCAGCGTCTTCGCCTGCTGCTGTTGCCCCGCTTCTCCTCCCGCAGCTGGGGTTGCTGCCACTTCTGCAGAGCGGCAGCGGTTTGTCCTGCCACCGGCATCGACATGTACACCTCCGGCCGGCCAGGTGACGGAAGTCCTGTCCTCCTCTGAGAGAGCGGAAGCCGCGGCAGCTGCCTTTGCCACTGCCGCTTCGGCTTCGTGTAGCCGGTTCTCGAGATGAGCCGTTCGTGCCAATAGCTCGGCCTTTTCACCCAGCAAGCATTCCAACGCGGCCTGTTCATCGCACAATCCCAGCGCGTGGGGGTCGAGACGCAACTCGTGGTCTTTTTTATTGACACACGTCATGACTACAAGTACGAGACGCTCGCCATACCTTTTGGGTGGAGTGCAGGCGGGAAGCTTCTCACGACTTGTTGAGGCACCGCGACGGCCAGGAAAACAACCGTCAGTAAGCATGCGAGTAAGAAGGAAACTGTCAACAGGTAATGTGGAACGCTACGACGTTGCGATGACTCTGGCGCGCTCTCCCACACATGTGCAATGTGCGGTGTATCATTTCACTGCCATGACGAGGCAACCCCCTGTCAAGAATTCGCTCCCAACCCCCCCCCCTCGTCTTTCACCTCGCTTGCTCATTCTGGGATGCCGGGGAAGTCTGTTTCTCCGTGTGTCTACCAACTTTATCGCACGCGCTACGCGCATAAATAGGTATTCAAAATACGCCTACGCTGCCTATTGCATACTCGTCATGTTTGTCACCTTCCCGCCAGCCTCCGCCTCCTCTTGTTCGAAGGCCGCCCTCAACGACTCGAGCCTCGACTCAGCCCGCAGGCGCATGCGCTCCTGCTCCTTTGCCGCGCCTTCGAGCTGCCTTTCCAGATCAGCTATCTTGGTCTGGGCCAGGCGTCTGCCTTCCGCCTCGACCCTCTCCGCTGCCTGCGCGCCGTCCAGCTGTCTCCCCAGAAGCTCTGACTCCTCCATGGCAACCCGGGATAGTTCTCTGGCTTCTTGAAGCGCGTGCTCGGACGAGGTCATCCGTTCTCCTGCTTCGGTGAGGCGGAGCACTGGTGATCGAGGTGCGGTAATGCCAAGCCCCCTTCTGACGATGTCTTCCGCGCCAGTCGCTGCTGACGAGGTGGCGAGGCCCGGCACGATGCTCACGGTAGTTCTGTCCTTTGCAGCCGAGTGTACTGGTCGGTGATCCGCTTTGAGCCGGACAAGGGGAGCAGAGAGGCAAGATTCACTAGTGGTATCGACTGCGTCTGAGCCAAGCTCTGCCGCGGTTTCCGGCATTTTTTCGTCCTGGAGATGACTTTTGCCAGGGTTGGCAGTGCGAGGTGGTTCCTCGATGTCCATGGTGAGCTGGTCGGATTCGGACTGAGCAGCTTGGGCAATTATGTCGTTGAGGCGGCTCTCCAGTTCGTTCGCACGACGTTCTGCTCGCAGCTTCTCATCCAGTAGGGTTGCTAAGGCGATCTAAAAGGATATGGGTTCGTTTGGGGTTCGTGAGAGTTTGTAGCCAGGCGAAGGCGAGCAACGAAGGGGGCAGGAAAGACTGACAGGCGTGTGCTAGCTTCCCCATATTTTTCTGAATACTCCAGGAGACTTGTGTTGTGAAAACGTTTGGTGATCGAAGTAAATACCATCTGCCCGCACGTTGGAGACGTTTGGAACATCAAGGCAATAACAAGGGGTGCAAGATGTTGTGCTCCGCCAACGCGACCCTTCCACATACGAAAAACGAAGCTGTTTCGGGCGCTACCGCACGAATCTAACGTTTTACAGATCAGGCGGCGTGTCCCAAAAGCAGGAAGGATACCACAGTCAACCATAGGGCTGCCCTCCTACCCACTACTGCTGTCTCTCACTTGGGCTCCTCCTTCTTCTTGCTCTTGGGCAAACGCCAGCTTCAAGACCTCAAGTCTAGACTCCGCCCTGGCCCTGAACAAGGTATGCTGCTTTTCTGACACCGAGAGAACCTCCTCGAGCTCTCGCACTCTATCCTCGGCCACTCGCCGGCACCCGGTTGCCGTTACCGCGGCCGCCACCTCTTCTCCAGGATCTCGGTTAGGCGCACGGACCTTCGCTCGCGTTCTCGGAGGTGGAACTTCCGTGAGCCGCACGTTTGCCGCATGGTGAAGCTGTGGCTGTTGCAAGAGCTCTTCCTCATCGGCGATCCATGTCCGTCCTTGCTCGTCGCTCTTGGCTAATAAGCACGTGCCGTCCTCCGCCGGACAAAACCCAGCTGGTCCATCGTTGAACACGCCTTGTCCGTCTGGTTGAGTGCTGTTGTTGTTCTTGACTGCAATGGTGGTGTCAGCTTGATTACCACTGCTGGGGCAATTCGTGGCCTGAACATATTGGTGAGTGGTGGCGTCTTTCTCAATTGCATAGCCCGAACGGCATTGTCCAACTGCCTCCTGCTGCTGCCCTTGGTGCTGCGGCGGAAACGTCTTCGTGCCTCCATTGTTGACGACCCGGGCCTTCATGTCCGCCTCATTGATGCCTCCGATTGCCGACACCTTCGGGTTGATGCAAGACCCTCCCATCGCCGGGAAGTCATTCATTTTCCCGTTCTGAGCCGAACTTAGGGCACATTGCAATGCACGTAGCTGGGACGTTAAACGGCGCGTGTTTTGGAAGAGAGGGAGGTGTTTATTGGCCTGAAGAATGGAAGATGTTGAAAGAAGAAAGATTGACGGTTGACAGAAGTGGCAAGGTTGACGGGTGACAGATTTGGGAGCCACGGAGACTGTAATCACTTCCCCGTCCATCGCGGTGTCCTTCTATCGAAACTTGATCTACCGAAGCTTGGGGCGTGCTACCCTATCGCGACTGCCGCACACTGGAACATAAAAAAAACACGGACTCCTCCACAAATTGAGAAGGAAAATACCGCTCACAAGCTCAGCCCGCTCAATCTTTCAAACCTTGAAAGGGACCCACACCGTATCACCTGCTCTTCCGTGGCTCTCAACTCGCGCCCAAACCGCTCGCACTCCATCTCCGCTCGTTCCTTACCAATCTCAGCCTCAGCCGCCGCTCGCGCGGCCTCGACTTTTGCTCTGTCCGCGTCGGCCCTAAACGCGGCGGCTTCTCGCTCGGCATCGGCTACTCGCAGTCTAGCAGCCTTGACCTCGCGAAGGCTGCTCGTGGTGGTGTTCTCATCGTCTGAACTCGCTACTCCGAAAATTTCCGTTGGAGCGTTGTTGGAAGCGTTCATCTTTTCCTGCAAGGCCCCTATTTCTTTGTCGTTCCGTTGCCGTTGTTTTTCACCGACATTGCTGGCACGGCGTCTTGCCGTTCGCACCCCAGCGTCGGTGCTCGAGGGCACTTCCCCGACACGTCGCACACAACCTGCGGTGTGCCGTACCCCATCAGGCGCGGGCACCCCTGTACTGTCAGAAGCTTGGCTGTAGAAGCGCTCTTCTGAGCACCTGCTCAGGCGGCGACGCCCCGTCCTACTACGGGGTCCCGCCGAAACCACATTAGCATGCGGATCTCTGCGCCTGTAACCTCCCGTTGCGCTCTCCTGTTTCCCGGCGTCTTTTAACTTCACTCCCTCCACCTCCAAATTGCTTTCGGCCTCCTTTCCGCGCTTGTCTCCCGCAACCGCCGCCCGCTCGGCCTCTCGCAGCCGGCGTTCGCTCCGCGTCAAGTGCCGCAGCACTGATTCCAACCGCGCCTCCGCTGCCGACGCCCGAGATTCCGCGGAGGACAAGCGGTCACCGGCGATGGCGTCAGCCTGGCGAGACGCCTCGGCACGCCGGCGGTGTTCGCTGGTCACGCGCGCGAGCTTGGCCTGGAGCTCGGCTGCTCGTGTATGGGCCGTCGCTTTTTCGGCGGCTAGGGAGGCGAGACTGGCCTGCGTTGTCACGCCGACAAACGAACGAGGAGGGAAAGGCACAAACAAGGAAAGCCACCATCCAGGAAAGGCACCGTCAGTCCCTACGCTTGATTGACAAGCAAGGCAACGAGCGCACTAACGGCGGGTAGCTGAAGGCGTGGTACTTTCTGAGCGAAAAAAACGGTTGGGAAGAAATGGCTACCGGAGCTGGCCTCACCTGAAGCCCGGAGACATCCACCTGGTCCAGGCGCTCCTGAACGGGGAAAGCTCTTGCCCTAGAGGTCAGCGCATCGCCTCTCGCCTTGACCAACGCCGCACTGAAATCTCGCGTTTGTTCTTGCCCGCCGCTTCGCTTACCCACGAGACCCTTCTGCGCCTGCATTGTTGCAAAGGTGATCCAACAGAACAAGATTTATAGTGTGTGTACAAAGTCGTTGACGGGCACGCCGACACGGGGATGGGATTGCTGCTCTCAATCCTGTGCAGGGAACCTCAATAGCTCCATGAAATAACACCTCCTCGACCCTACATCACCTGGTCTCGCTCTTTCTCCGGCAGCGACGAGTTTTGCCCCCTTCCCTGCCTCAGTGCGCGCATCCTTCCAGCTTCCGCCATCGCTGCTTCCGCAATCGCCACTGCCTCCGCCGCCTTGGCCTCGGCAGCTCTCTTCTCCTCCAGTAGGGCGGCGAGGGCGGCCTTGGGGCCGTTGTCAAGGCTCTCCATCAGCATCTCGTGAGTCTCTTTCAGCGACTCGCGGGCATTAGACAAGGCAGCCTCGGCGACGGCGCGGGCGGTACGCTCGCGGTCGGCCCCGTTCTGCGCGATTTCCACCTCTCGTCTGTAAGGATGCATGATCGTACGGGATGACGACGTTCGGCTGTGTTAATGTTTTACGCGTAGGGAGAACTGGTTTCTTGGATGCGAAAACACCGTAACAATAGAAAAATCCTCAGTGACATTACCCAACATGTCGTGTATTTCATTGGCACGTACTACCTGTGCTCATTTAGTGAACAGATAACCGATTGGTGTCCAAGTACATCCCCCAAGGCTCAATCACCTGATTTTATGGTGTGTGTTGAAGAAGTCCCGCACGTGTATAGTGTTCTTCTACTCTAAACGCACCGTGCTTGTGCTTCGGCGCGGGCCAAAGCCTCCATGATATCCCGGAGATTGTCTCCCTCTCGTAGGCCATCAGCCTTGACGTCCCGTGTCAAACATTCTTGGAGAGGGCAGCCTCCAGCACGCCCAGCTTCTGTTGCTCTTGCAGGCCGGTGCTGCGAGTGTCAACGTACGGAATTTCGGCAAGTGGTTGGCTCGGCGCTCGACGTCCGTATCGCCTGTCTGAATTTTCGCTGCTTGTTCTCCTACCTTACAGAACGTTAGGTCCCCGTCGTCTCTCGACTCGAGCGTTTCAGCTCTACTTCTGGTTTAGCTCGTCTCACTCGTGTTGCTTCTCCTACAAGCGGGAAAATGCCCGGTTTTCACCTCATGAACCTCGCCCCGTCCTCCGTAGTCAGCGGTGCTGGTCGCAGTGCCTTTGCCTGCCTCGTGTATGCTCCTTACTCGGTTGCCACCGTGCGATACCACAGCAGAAGCAGCCGCATCGTCGGGCAACCCCGACCATGGCAGCGATCCTTCCACTGCTAGCCGCCGGGTCAACTCCTGCTGCGGTCTTGCAAGGTCAGACGGAGACGGAAGTGCTGTTGAGCTAGGATGCACCACTGCGTCAAACCACCTCGGTCCGTCTGCATAGCACTGTTTGGTGTCGGTAGCTTCGTCTCTGCTGCCATCGCCCTCACGTCGAGGAATCAGATGCGTTTGTCGAGGACTGGACGAGCGGGACCATGCCTGTAGTCGATGGTGCCCACTTCTATCCCCCGGCCTACCATCCCATCGGCGTCCGCCTTCACCACCACCACCACCAGGAGGGTCTAGCCCCTGATACCGCGCGCTTACGCATTCTTGGCTCCTGTACCAAGTAGTGGGTTGCATCCGTGGACATAGGGAAGATTGTGTGCCATGAATTACCCTTACATAGCGCCGTCCGGGCCCAACCGCTAAAGAAAAATTTAAGAAACCGAGGCTGAGGTTCGAGGGAAACCACGAAATCGGCGAGCGTCAGCTCAGAATTCCGCTCGTGGTTATGTGCAATAGACTGATGCAAGGCCTTCACTCCACATAGGAAACCCGGCTCAGCCCCGAAATGTGATTTATCATGATAGGGTCGATATGGTAGTCTGCACGTTTCCACAAATATTCCGCTCTACAGTGAGAGGAAAGCAGGAAACCAGCGCAGGATGCACGCGACGGAGGCAAATCGGAGCAGTAGAGCGAGCCTCAGACCGCCAGCATCTTTTAAATTGAGTGCCTTTCGCCAATGACTTCAACTCAGCCACATGCCGCAGCTGATTTCTGCACTATTTTACGCCAAGCCTACTTGTACGGTATGCATATCCGCACGGACACTCTGTCATTCTCACGGTCCCGCTTGTCCCAGGATTCCCGACCGACTGCCGGTCCCAAACGTGTTCCTACCTTGTAGCATGACGGCCCACCGCCTGTGTCTTCCTCCAGGCCGATTGCGACCGCCCCAACCTCAAGATATCAAAGTGCGGCTCCCCTAGGTCTAGAACACGAGAAGAAGCATCGGATCCTTTGAAGTAGGTGTCGCGGGATAGTGGGCAAAACCCAACATCTAGTGCGCTGGCGCCACTTCCAATGCGGGAGGCGTTCCATCTATTCTTGGTAGTAGGAGCTTTCTGACGATGCACAAGTTGTGCTGGTCCGCCGCCCATTAGACTGCTGCGCTTCGTCGGCCCAATAGTAACAGATGTGCACCCTGGGGTATTCCTGTTGTTGTTGTGGCTCTGTCGCCTCACTGACGTCAGGTCGTAGCCAGGCATGCCATGAAGGCGACTGGACCTATGGCCTCGTGGCCTCGGGGCCGCTTCCTCATCCCCCTTGTTAGTGCCTCTCATCCCACGATTGTGCAGCAATCTTTTGCTGCGCGCTGTAGGCCTCTACCCGTTTCCATGGCTGCAAGATCCAGGGATCCGTCATCAAAACGCGGTCCCTCTTTCACCTCCAACGGCATGTCCATCCTCATCCAGTAGAGTTATCACGAAGTCTCTCGGAACGCACATGATCAAGTGTAGCGACACCATCGCTACATGCCACCCTCTTAATCCCCTATGTGTTCATGGCGTGCCCCCTTGACTGGTGTTGGAGAACACAGCAGACTGATTTGCTTATTTGCTGGTGAGATGCGGGCGGATCTCCACGTACCTCGCCGCACTTGTTCCTGTTCGTCGGAAACGGCCAAAAAGATCATTATTCTTGGATTCTTCGTCTTCGTCGTTCGTCGCGCGGCCCGACACCGGATACTCCACAAGATGTCACCAAACTGTGTTGATGAGCCTGCTGCCGTACGAAGGATATCGCTGCATGTTTGTCGAGGAAGAGTCGTAGAAACTCGGATAGGTCGGATAAGACCATGAACTCATTGCCATGTACCGGGCAGCACGTTCGTCCTATCGGTAGATGTGCAAGGTCTTCTTTTTTTTCGTGAGACGTATGCTTGTGTGTACACACTGTACTACGGTGTGGCGTGTGCGAAAGAAAACAAAAGTTCGAGTTATTTGTCCACATGTAAGCGGGCAGAGAGGGGGTGTGCATGTACAACGGAAAAAGCACAACGGACTTTATTCAGCCGCTCTCTACCTTCCTGCAACCATCTACCTCCTCCCCGCAACGACACTCACACACCCCTGATCCGCACTCCCCCTAGACTAAACTTCAGGGCAAGGCATTCATCATGACAAACCCTTTCATCCGAGGTGTGGCGGTGGTGGCTCTCGCGAAGGCAGCATCTGCGGATGCGAGCTTCTCAAACGTCAAGATCTCCCAATTTCAGCAAGCGGGCCTGGATCTGTCCTTCCTGGTATCTTGGGACACCGCCAACACCACCAGTGAGAATCCGTCTTCTGGATCGGGGTTGATCGATATTTGGCTCGAGACCAGACAGACGGAGGCCTCTTCCATGGTCGAGACCGTCCTCCAGCAGGTACTTGTTAGTTGCTACGGCAGGACATCGTGAGATACAGGGACGGCTTTGAAAGAAGTTGCTCTGCACATGGCTGGATTTTCACGGCTCATAATTTAGATTGTTGCTATGGTCAGAGGACAAGGGCCAGGAAACAGCACGCTCTCTGTCTGCGACGTCCTAACGTGCGAAGTACCAGTCAGTGTACGCATACGAAATGACGGTAGTCTCCATGTATTCTTTGGGCCCAGGTCGTCTTCTCCAAACTAATTATGTCCGTTCACCCTTGACACACCACAGTACTTGTCAAAGTACACCCAGCAAGTTTACCCCCCGGGCTCGCTGGACATGATGTATGATTGGGTCGTTGGGGAGGATCATGTATGTACCAAGATTGCGGCACACTCCGTACGGTAGGCTCCAGTTCCTCCGAAATGAAGTGCGGCCTGTTGAGCAAGCCCGATTGGTCGCACACCCTTGTTAGCCCTCCTGGTAGTAGAAGTATATCAGCTTGAGTCTAGCCGGGCCTAACGCCCTCATTTCAAAAATGACGGGGGAAGCGCACTTCGGAAGCAGACTTGCCACCAGCACAAAGTGCGGCTCACGAACACGTGTGTGTGTGCCGGCCAGAGCCATCAATGACGCCCAAAAGCTCAGCTTCTCCACGGCTTCAACAATGATGAAAAGTCTGCTGCTCTAGAGCTCTCCCCGGAGACAACCACCAAGACTTCTCGGAAAACTTATATCGTTTCTGAACCCACAGGGTGTCGAAAACACCGGTTCGATGTGGATGGACGCGGGTGATTCTTGGGCAATTCGTTCATCTTGGGACGGCACCATCAGTGGGGAGGGAATCGTCTGTGTCTACCACTCCGACGACCTCTTCGACAATGCCTGCAGCGAGGTGAGGGCGGAGAACCCAGAGCTTGGAAAACAATCACATCAAAGACAGACACGCTTACAACATAATGCAAGGATGCCCGTCAAAAGTCATCCCACGCAACTACATACACTGTAGATACCTCAGTACGGTGACTCGCCGAATATCTCACGGCGCTTCGCGCTTGGTGATGTGCTAGACTGGTCCGGTGAAAAACCCGGCGTGCTCCGTCCCGGCTTTGTAGGGATGCGACGTCAATGGTCTAATGACTACGGCATGCACGGCCTGAGCACACCCCACCCACCCCATCCCCGGAACGGCCTGAAAAAAAGTTGTTGATTTTGTCCTCTTCTTGGGTATTACCCACTTCACGCACACCGGTTACTGGGGACGCATCGTTTGCTACTACTGCTGTAGTGAAGACGTTTCACGCATATATTGAGGGGGGCATGTGCTCTCTTGATGTGCTATGTCTGTATCCATTTCGCGTGATCATGGAATGGTGGTTCACAAGAGAGGACCCTAGCCTTACCCTAGGGTACCGGGACAAAAATATGACCCCCTTCCGCGGGTCCCCTATGCCGTGATTGGAATTAGGCTACCGGCCCCCTCGAATCCTCCGAAATGTGAAATGGGTACCTAGGTGTGGAAGGATTGTTTTTGCTCACCCTTGACCGGTGCAGTAAATAGCCTTCACCAAGCCGGCAATGTCTGTTTGCCTATTCATCCTCGGTCGCGAGCCCTCGCCGGCAGCATCATGACACCGTGGCTACAGTACATGAAACTTTTTCCGTCTACACAGAACCTTTATTCCTCGACTCCCGTCGACGAAACAAACAACAACAATTTTGATCCAGCATGCATCAGGCACAGGTTTCTGCCGGGAAAGCACCCACGTTCGACCGCTCCGTCTTAACCGCAGGCAATATCTGCGTTCCGCCGATACCGAACTCTCCACACGTCAACACCTTGACCTCTTTCTCCCTCCTCACCATACCCAAAGGGGCTTGGCATCCTTCCCGAGGCAGAAGCTCCCTCCGCGACCCAAGGGGACGGCATCAGCAACGTCGACGTCCCGCGTGTCGAACAGAACGGGTCATATCTGTCGTTTTCGGTCACGTGGGGGGACGGCGGGGGCGCTGGAGGGTTCGAAGACACTGCCCCTTTCGTCGACATCTGGCTTGTCGCTGAGCAGTCTGACCCCCCGGCGTGGGTCGAGCTCGTGGTTGAGCAGGTGAGTGGGAACCATTAGGTGTTCAGCAGGGTAGACATGGTTGGACGCTGCGTGGTTCGATCCAGCATGCAGAGGCTGAATGTGCCCCGCTAGGCCCTGTTGCTACAACTTCCACCGCTATTGCCACGGTTCATTGCACCCAGAAAAAAAAGCTTGAGAAACTGCTGAGGCCGTGCAGGGTGGTGACCACGGACGACGCACTCACACACACGACAACCACCTCCCCCTCGCTGACATCACGCAGAACGTAGAAAACGACATGCTGTCGCACCAGGAGGTAAGCATGGATTGGTCGATGATGGGCTGGGACCTGACCCGCGATGGGCAGCTCCAGTCCTGCGTGTACGATACCCAAGACTACGACAACTACGCCTGCAGCGACTTCGTGTCCTTCGCGGCAATGGAGGAAACCGCCGCCGACGGTATGGAACTTTTCTTATAACATGGAATGATTATTGATGTAACGTTGCAGTCCGGTGGTTTCATTAGTTTCTCCCCCAACGAGTGAAGCGCTTGCTTTGTCCCTTTCCATAGCAGACCCAGTCGTTGATTGAAACTTTGCGGGATCGAGGGAGACGCTCACGTTCTCTTTCCTTCCATATGCGGGTTAAGAGAAACCCCCCTAATGGTTTTTCTCAGCAGCCTCTATCGTTGACATCACTTTGAGACATTGTAGGAGACTTTCACGTATTTCCTTCCTTCCATTCGTCGAAACCCCCCTCATCCTGTTCCTGCACTTCCACACCGCCCTCCTCCTCGTTGTATCGATCAGTCGATGCCACCAACGGCGGCGGTGACGGAGGAGAGGGCGGCACGGTCCTTGCTTTGGTTCTCGCGGGGGGTCTTGTTCTCGGCCTGGTGGCGTGGCTGGCCATCACCTCGTCCCGCCGCAGGCAAAGGAGGAGGTGGCTCGGCACGGCGAATGAGGCGGAAGCCCTCCCGGAGGACACTTTCGTCCGCCTTTCAGACCCCTACTCCGGCTTCCATTGATGATGATGGTGACAACGAATTATTTAATTTGTCCCTTTCTCGTTCTTGTTTAGCTCCTGCTCGTGACGATCAGCGTCGTCTGTCTTTCTGTGGGCCCCCACCCACCCGTGGGTCTCCGTGTCGAGAATACTGAGACAGCGCGATCACGGAAGAAGACGTCAGGGAGTTGTCCTTGGTTTCATTTGCATCGTTTAGAGGGGGCGACAGCACGTGATGCCTGGTTTCAGTTTTATTGATTTGTACAGAAAGATCTCCGACGCCCGGTTGTGAATAGGGGCAAGCGCTCAAACGGGGCAGGCAGTCCTCCTTTTCCCCTTGGAACGTCCGCAAAGTGGACACCCAAGCGAGCGTGTGTGTGTATCGGTCGTAGCATGTCGTTCTTGTGCTTTGGCTTAAACGTGCGGCTTGTTCGAAGATGGTATTCACGCATCGAGTCCGTAGCCAAGCCGACGAGGGAGAGCAGGGAGCACGAAAAGGAATTTTGAAAGCGGAGGCACTGTGTAGGTGCCATTTTTGGTGGTCGGTCGAGCCTCGAAACCAATCAGTGCGATCACGTGATGTTCTTTCGAAGCTTCTTTGAAACCCCTCTCAGGGCCTGTGATTCGTTGGCTGCGTTAGTTTTGACGGTGAACATGCATGCGTTTGATTGAGTATGTTCACGTTTATTTTGTGTCCGTGTCAGTTGTTTGAGCGCCTATCTGTATCGTCGTGTTAGTCTCGCGGTGTGGTGCCTACCGCGATGTCGTTGGCCATGCAAGCCTACATGTGTCTGTGTTTATATTGTCATCGCGTGCTCGGAGTCACAAGGTCCTCATTGATTGAGACAGCGTGACCTAAGCCTACATGTACCCCGTTTGGAAAAATGGGTTCGAGTGAGGGAGGGGGGGCGTGATGTTCTCTCGCGTTCATCGACGGCACGACTTCGATTTATGTAGTGAGTGCGAGCACCAAGAAAACGACGTCAGATCACCATCAACCAAAACGGTTCGTGCTCCTCGAACTTATGGCCCTTCCAGTTGCACCCACGCTGAACCGAACCAATGACAAAAGACGACTGCGGTTCGGGGCCTGGACAACGTCGCAAGCGCACGCAACGGCGCAAAAGCACTTCAAGCGAGCGAGACCCCGCCGTCCATTGCTTGCCGAGCGGTGGAGAGGTTTCATGCACGAAGAAAGTCACGTAGTAACTCGTGGTACCTTTTGACCTTGCGTGACTAGATTCAAGCGCTCTCTTTGTCCTTCCGAACGCAGTTTATTCCATAGGTAGAGGCACGTCGTCGGTACGGCGTATATTAACCGAAGCTTGTTCACTGATGACTGCACCATACTTCATCAGTTTTCATTCATAGTGTCCGAAGGCGGAAACCGTTCTCGTTTTGTGCTTCTTCTTCGTGCATGACGCTTAGCGGAGCTGCCGAGAGAACCGGAACGTGCACTCCTTCGATCCTTGCAATCGAAAGGCATCACTTCCAAAGATAGCAGCCTGTTTCCCGAACATTCCGTCCATAACTCTGTAGAAGAAGTTTGTCGTGTGTTGGATAATAAAAAGACATTTGTTCGTTTTCCTGCCGTCCGTCCTCCGTGCAGCTCGGGGTTGCGCCGAACTCATGGTCGCACACTACCCAAAATCCTGCATGCGACCCCCCCCCCCCCCCCC